GACCTATGATCCAGCTGTCAGGAGGAGGAGGAATAAAATCAGACAGGTGTTGTCAAAGGGCAGATCAAAAGATCGGGATGAATGTCGCTGAGCTCCGGCTGCTCTCAGAGACAAAGCCAGTCTGAAGGTCCGCTTTGGGTTTTCCTCCCCAACCGAAAGCCGCATGCTGCAAAGCATCATGTGCATCCAGTCCCATTAACAACACAACTCCAAATAAAACACCCACTGTCCAGTTTGAAAATGTTTGTTATTACTTTTATTAATTATCATCATCATCATCATTATTCTTCAAGTTTAGCTGTGTAACAAACTTTTCTTGGCTGTCAAAATATGTTGCAGAAATATCATTTTTGCATGAAAATAAAACCTAAAAACAATAACGCTCAGAAAGGTAGCAGAATAAAATACAACAGGAGAGAGAATGTCAACTAAAAAAAACAAAACAAAAAAGTCCCATCTCTTTTCTATAAAAAGCTGTTTAACAGAGAAAACAAATCCTACTAAAATATACCGATTAATCGTACATACTTAATGTGTGTGCGCATGCATGTGTCGAGCCAACGAGAAACTGGCCTTGGTTAACACTGTACACCCCAAAATGTACACTTACTTCGTACCACTGCATGTGTGTGTGTGTGTGTGTGTGTGTTGTCCCTTCCTTGGCAACAAAAACATAATAAATTGAGTGCAAGCGACAGCATCATTTTCTATGACACGTTCGGACAAAAAAATGCAAACACTTGTTAAGGCCTCTCAATGTAAACGCAGATTTTAAACGAACCTAAGACATCCACATCACCGTAGTAACACAAGGCCATGGCGGAGCCTGATTGGTTGCATAAGTGCATAACTGTAATTGCCATCCGACAGCGACAAACGACGGCTGCAAAAGTTCTTCTGGGATTCCTACGAAGTGTACGCTTTATTTCATCTTTTATTCATATCTGTGTTTAGTTTCCTTCGGGCATGGCTCTGGGGGCAGCGTCGGCAAAGCTGGGAAATGAACGGAAGAAGAAAGCCTTCAGATTTGACGGGGTTCTGCGGGTCAGGAGAAGGGAAAAGGGAACAGAGCGTTCCTCATCAGGGGCGTCCTTTTTTACTTCCAGGTTAGTAACAAGGAAAGGGTTTAGTTTTTACCTCAGCCTTTCAGCGTTTTGTCTCCGGCCCAGTGAGAAATCACTTTGGCAGATCCAGATTGTGTTTCAACTGAGATTTCACTAGTTAATCCTTTTTTGAAAAACTTCCCAAAACGGCTCCACTACAACTGCTTCCAAAAAAAAACTAGGGATAATCTTCAAACGCTCCCTCCTTCCTAACAAGGATACGAGGGAATATTGGATCCTGTTGGATGTCAAAAACTAACGCGGGAAAACCTTGAGATGAAGTATCAGACGTTTTCAGTCTCCTCCAGATTCTGAGACGGTGTGACACCATCTCTCAGCTCCCGTTTCTAGCCTCTAAACCCAGTTAGCCCGTCTAACCCTAACCCGGGGGGGGGGGCAAATGCTCATCTGTGAGCGCCCGCATGCTTCCAAACACCCCCCCCCCC